TCGCCCCCTGAGACGTCACTGGGCCGGAAAACATCCCCAGGACGTCCGTTGTCCTGGCCTGGCATTCCGGGGGGGGCGGGGGTGAGGAACTGGGGACAGCTCAGGGGCAATGACGTCCCTGGGCTGCAATGATATTTTTAAGTTGGACGTCACAGGAATGCCAGGCCAGGACAGTGATGTCCTGGGGATGTTTTCCCGGCCCAGGGACGTCTCAGGTACAATGGCATCCCTGGGCCGCGCTAATTTTTGTGAATGGAGATGTCCTGGGGACAGCATCTCAGCGCCAATGGCATCCCTGGGATGCACTGATTTTTCTGAAGTGCCCTGGGTGTGTATCCTGTATGAATGATGAAGAGAGTAGAAGGTTCTCGGAAGCTTGGATGATGGATACATGGCGCAAATGGTCCCTCAGTGCCATGTTTGGCATCTCGGAGGCGGGGAATGGCAGCTTGGTTGCTTGGTTGCCAATCTTGGCATTTGAAATCTGTTCTTCACAATTTGAGCTGGCAGTTGAGAAGCAATGCATTGTAGAAAAGTGGCAGTTATGTGGCCATTTTCACTTCATTATCATTTTGGTTGGGGTTTTGGCCAAAATGGCACACTAATGCCTCTATACTTTACCATTAAATTCAACACCTTTCAAAGTGCAGGAAAAGATTTTAAAATTAAAAAAAAAAATGAAAAATAAGCTGTAGAAAATTAACTTAATAACCACGTCTAAACACAGACTCCGTGTGTGCTGTACAGCTGTGAAACCATGGAAAACCCATTTTTTTTATTAAGGACCAAAAAAATTGAAAAAAAGAGAAAAAAACATTGAAAAAAATGAATACATGGAAATACGGGATAGTTATGTATTTGTATCAGTCATGTATTGTAATTTTCCCAAATACAGTGTATTCAATTATGGGGGAAGTGCGCTTATGTAAAAATACATTGTGTCTTATACTCAAGGATGAATACAATATGATTCTGTGGAATTGCGAACTTGGAAAGTACAATATGTGTCTGGTATTGGTTGCACCATTGCCAGGGGCAAAGTCTAAGCAATCACATTCAAGGACAAAGGGCCTGTACGGGTTGGCAATCTACAGTACAGGTGCTATGGTAAGTGCAGTTTTCAGAGTCTCAAAGGCCTTGATGCATGGGTTGTCCCAGACGTAGGGAGTTTTGTCCTTTGTCAAGTTGTGGAGAGTTTGAGCTATTCCAGAGAAGTGGTCTATGAATTGCCGGTAGAAGTTTGTGAATTGAATGAAACACTGTATTTCAGTCATGTTCTTTGGTGGCGGTCATTCAGATACAGCTTTGACTATGGTCAGGTCCATTCTCAGTCAATATATGATATCAAAAGTCCCAAGTATTCCACTTCTGGCCTAGACAATTCCCATTTTTCCGGTTTCAGCCGAAGTTGATGCTTGGCACTTGCTAAGTGTCTCCAATACTCCCATGACTGCCCCTTTAAGGTGGTCGGTTCCCTTTTGTGTGTAGGTCATCATGTTGTCCAGGTAAGATGCATCCCAACAGGATGTCTTGCATAAAGTACTGACAGTAGCCAGGCACTCCTGTTGGTATAATTGGCATAGTCAGAGGTGCAAATGGGCCTTGTTGACAGACAAAAGCTAGTTTCTCCTTGTCTCCTTTGAGTTTGATTTCCCCATCTTTGTGATACCTGTGTTCCAGTTTGTAATGAGGTATTAGGGGGTATCAAATATAACCAAATCCACCATTATTTAATTGACTGGTTTGGAAAAATCCACCCTTTTTTAAACATGTTGGTAATCCATTTAACCCCTTTTGGGGCCCATTTATTCAAAAAAAGTTTTTGGAAAAGTGACTGGTTTCTGATAGTGGATTTCCTATATTTGATACCCTCTATTTTCAAGAAATGGGGGTATCAAATATAAGAAATTGGATATTTTCCTTGACCAATGGATCCTCAAAGGTGGAAGTTGAATAACTAGCATGTTTAAAAAGTGATTGGTTGTTGGAAACCAGTCTATTGAACAATGGTAGATTTGCATATATTTGATATCCCCTATTACTGAAATATAACTGGGCTAAAAGCTTTTTTATCTTCTTCAGAAAGGAAAGCCCACTTGCTGAGATGAGAATTTTCTCATCCCACCAAATGAGCAGCCTGGGGGAGAACTGTAGGTAGGGG